AAGAGTTAATGCCAATAATTGAAGACTGTTGCACAAAATGGAGAATATTCAACAATGGCCATAAATCTGAGTTGTTAATTTTTCTTAGAAAGCATATAAATATTTTTTCGAAGAAACACGTGTCTCTTTTTGATGCAATTATACATAGAAAATATTAAGAATAAAGCAACAAAAGTCATCAACTGCCGTTTTACAATTATAGGCAATTATTTCAAATTAGACTTCAGAAAAGATGTCTCATTTATATTTCAACTAGCGGATGTACCCGATGCCACTTAAATTAGATTGAGATTAATGTATCTAACAACTGACAGAACGATACTGTAATCCTTCTCTAATAACGATTCATAATAATACATTTTTCAGTCTGATGTGATATGGAATCCACATAAAAAAATTCAGTCGAAAAATAAACTAATTCTCTGACATTATATCAGTAACAACGGCAAGCAGTTTTTAATGGTTTCGATCTTTCTAATCAAATCGTCATAAAATCTCAAGTTCCGTCCTATATTTCACCTACATTCAATTTTAGTCGAAAAATTTCATCATAATTGATTAGAAATCAGTAATGCGAACAAACGCACAGACAGACATCCTTCTTTATACACATAGATTTTGTAAAACTTACAAATGTTTGATTACAAACTTTACGATTTGAAAGCGAGCAGTAGCAACGCTTTTCGAAATAAAGCATCTTTATCTTCAACGCCCAAGACAGTTGCCACTCGGGAAAATGAGTGCAAAAATTAATATTTTCGGAGTTTTTAATCAATATATCGGCTGATTAAAGTCGTACGAAGATGGCAATAGTCGAAATAGCTTCCCACGAATTTTTGGAATCGGGAATAATGTATTTAATGTTTGGAAATGCTACTTTTATTTCGGTTTTGGTTTGGTTTATTAGATTACGACAAAGCACTCAAGGGCTATCTGCCTTAAGGGAGGGATGCCTTCGTGGAGGACTTTTTAAGGGAAACTGGCTCGTATACACGTTACACATGGGGAAAACCACGAAAACACCCATGCAGCCAGCCCGTTCGCGGGATTCGAACCTCGGACCGAACTACCAGTGTTCAGCGACGTTACCGCTCGGCCGCCGGTGGGCCGCTACTTTTATTTCATTGCAAAACTTAGAATTACAATTTTTTTTATTAACAAACTCTACGATTTGAAAGCGAGCAGTGGCAACAGTTCTCGAAATAAAGCAGATTTGTATCTCCAGCATTCGAGACTGTTGCCACTAGGAAAAATGACGGCGAAAATTAGCGTTTTCAGAGTTTTTAACTAATATCTCTGATTTTAGCTGTTTTTTTTTTTTCCAAAAAAAGGGACGTCGACCTTTCCCAGAACCCAGAAAAGAATTGTAGAAAGTTTGTTGACGATAGCTATAGTAATGACTGAGTTATTAGAGGACAAACAAACAGACATTCTTCTTTTATATATATAGATTGTGAATCCAGTCCTTACCTATGCTTCACCGGCTTGGGATACTCTTACCAAAAATAATCTGCTCAAACTCCAACACGTGCGAAGCAAATATCTGCGCATCATTATTATCACACACTTCTAAGTGCACAATCAAAGACTACATGAGGATCTTAAAATATTGAAACTATCGATAAGTTGCTCGACAAAATCAATAGAAATTTCTAAAAAAAAAAGCTACTGCTCGTAACTATCTCATGAATTTTAACTTGTTTCAACTGGAAATTCTACAAGAGAGCAAAGAATTAAGCTTTTATGCTACACATCTGCTAAGAGATTTAAATTTTCCAACGTAGACTCTACAGATGCTCTCTGATGATATCTCTACAGATGCTTAAGTTTGGTATATGCAAGACATTTTTATTGATTATACAATATATTGACAGGTAAATACTAAAGTTCCAGCCTGACATTTATTTCAAATAATTTTTACATGTTTTATTAACCATTAAATAACTTACTTTAGTTTAAACTAAAAATAAATAAATTATGAAAACGTTCTACGTTTTTAGGAAAAAATTTCTAAGCCGGACGAAAGTTGAGAATAAAAATGATAACCGAATCTTTTTCTTTTATTTATGAGTTTTTTCTTCGAAGCTTAAGTAAAAATACAATTCTTACATGTAAATAATTATAATTTACTAGCAGCTTCGCTGCCAGCCTTCGTCTGGCTTTTAAATGTACCGGAAAAGTGTCTGAAGGGAACACCAAACGTTAATTTAAAACCTGCGTAGAATTTTACTCTGCAGAACAACTTCATAAAAAAACAAGTTATTACGTATAACAAAATTACAATGAAATAAGCAATATCCCTTAATATAAATATTAATTATCCTAATAAATAAATTAATCAACTTCCCTTTACAAAATCTTAACAACTCAAATGCGGTTTGAAGGAGGACTTAACAAAGGAGGTTAAGAACTTTGTTTCCTAAAAAAAATCACTCAAAACTTTTCAATATCTTAAAAGCAGTGAAATGAGCAATAAATAAGCTGTATCCCTTAATACAAATATTAATTATCCTAATGAAAAATTAACCAACTTTCCGTTAAAGAAAATTATGCAAAACATTTCAGTATCTTACAAACAGTGAAATAAGCAAACAATAACATGAGTGATTTGAAAGCAATTAAAAAAAAAATAAACTTCCGCGCAGAAATTTACTCTGCAGAACAACGTTATAAAAATATCAATCAAAATGTATTATACAGTACATATAAAAATGACAATGAAATATGTGAATCTCTTAAAAACAGTGACATAAGAAATACGATGAAAAATTGTTGCGAAACCCATATTTCTAAAAGAATGAAACTATTCAAAATGATGCGATTTCATCAAAAATCTATCAACAACAATAAGACAGGAAATTGTTGCCAAAATCACATTTTTAAAAATGTGAGATGTGAGAAGTGTACTCGGAAGCTTCATTTAAAAAGTTCTTTTAAAATACAAAATATTATCATTTTTCCAAAATTCTTTTTGAAAAGCAGTCGCAAGGATAAAAGTTTAACGTTGTCCAAAAATCAAAGAAAAATAAACTGTACATTTTTTAAAATAAACTTTTTTAGAAAAAATCCTGTTGAAAAGGTGTTGAGCACCCTTTGTTAAATAATTTCGTATTTAATCGATTTATTGAAATACGAAATTTTTTTTAAGTTCGTAAAATAGCTCAGTGCCTACGTTTCATGACGATGTGAAAATGGAGTGTGTAGAGTAAAATCTCGCTTTCCTATAGCCCATTATGTCTCAAAAATGACGTGATTTGTCACAAAACATAAAATTAAAAAAATTCGAATTCGAATTTCGAAAAAAATCGCTTCGAGGTGCACTGTCTCTTGTCTAGATGCACCCTATGTACCAAATTTCGTAGTCGTGGGTCTATTAGCTTACTCGCAGCGCAAACAAAACACACACACACACACAGAGACTCTTTCTTTTATTATATGTAGAGGTTTTTTATTTTTTACATTTTTCTCTGAAATTTTCTATATTTTTCACTGACACTTGATGACATTTTGATTCTGATCAAGTTTGTTAGCCTTGAAGATGTTCATTAATGAATAGGAGTCTTTTCTTGTTAATTTCCAATTGTGGAAAAAAGCTGTTCTCGTACAGTATTCCTTAACAAAGCATAAATCTGTAACGAGCGTATTTGGTTTTTTGACAAGTAGGAACTGAGATCTTTGAAAAAGATTTATATCACAGTCTGAATTAACTAGCACCATTTATTGATTTTGTGGTGCGTTGTTCATGTTCAGTTTTAGTGGTAATCAAAATAATGTGAACTCGGACTTTAAATAAAATCTTCTTGAAATATTTGTAACACCGTATTTGCAAAAAAAGGCATAATTGAAATGAATTCATTAGATGCATATTGCTTGGGGGGCAGCAGACGGCCCGACAGTTTGAGATCACTGCCATGTAGTACATTAAAAATTAAAATTCGCTTTGATTAGAATTTGAAATTTTGAAAATTTCTATAGAATACTATTTTATCATGCCTTTGTAAAAATTCCATAGAATGCTATAGAGAAACATTTATACAGGAATTTCTATAGAGCTGTAGCAGCTTCTACGAAATTTTACCATGACGGTTGGTTTTAGTTATTCTGTCTAAGGTAGAAAGTCTATCTGCCTAACGAAATGGATGCCTTCGAAGGTGTTCTTTTATAAGCGAAACTGGCTCATATTTACGTTGCAAAAAATGTCAAAAACACCAGTGCAGCCAGCTCCCTCCGCCCAGCTCAACTATCGTTATTCAGCGGTTGTAACTCATCTACTTGTAGGTGTCGGCTTTCTTGAGATAAAGCGGCTTAAATTCACATTACGCATGGGTAAAACTACTTAAAACACCCATGCAGCCAACCCGTCGCCACGTTTCGACAGTAGTTTTAGCTAGACCATTGGTGGAGAGCCTACGCTCGAATAGTTAGTTGCACAAAGATATAAGATATGCTGTTATAAATATCGTGAATAGTGCCAATTTTTTCTTCCGTCACTATGTGTTGCGCTTCAGCATTTTAAACTTTCTTTCTGGAAGTTAACGTGCCGTTGGAAACAGAGACTGTAGTGATTAGTAATTTGCTGTTTTTAAATAAACCTAAGAACCCTGACAATTGTGATATAACTGCGAAATGTTGTGTGAAAAGAGCGACTGGGTGCAGGCATTTGCTTTTGTTTTTATTGCCTAAGCATGGCATATCAAAAAATGTGAACTAGCTAACCAGCTGTTTCGAGTTGAGTTACCAAACTGCAAAATCATTTTCATTTTAAAACTGATATCAGAAAAGAAAAATGATTTGCAGATAGAAGAAGTAAACATATTCTACAGGAAGTCTAACCAATCAGTGATTCCCATTGCCACACGTCAATAGAGTGTAAACACAGGACACATTAAGGAGACGGCAACGACAACACTAGAGGGCGTCATTTTCACATCCGGGAAGTGTGAAATTGGGGTGACGTCAATAGCGCGAAGCACATACTTTTAAAAAGGATGTCATTATTTATAAAACGCAGGTCAGGACAACAATTTGCTCATCATCAGGTTCGAATATATACTCTTTTTTTTTATTCCATCCTCAGTCCTTTCACGTTCTAAACTCGAAGCGAGTATCTTTTATTATTATTATTATTTATTTTGTCTGTGCAGCAGCAGTGCTGTCCGCTATTACGTAATTGATTAAACGAGCCCTTTTGAAAGAAGCCTTAAAAAGAGACCGTTTATGGCAGTAGAGGCGGCGATAAAAAATATCGCCGGTCACACCCTTTTATCGAACGTGCTAAATAGGATACTCTCGTTGAATACACTTTTCGAATTTTTGGTTAGAAAATTCTCCTACACTGATAATGGAGTGGCAAAAGGTTAGTCCTCCAGATTAGCAATTACTTGCATTAAAATATAAAATACGGGGCAAGTGGCTTTGCCACTTACAAAAATTTTATGAGAGATTTAAATTAACAGATGAAATTCAACAGACTGATCATATAGATCATTATAAGCTGTAAAACACAAGAAAACATGGATCCTTAGTTAAGTACGCGTAAGTACAGCTCAGCTTAGAAAAAGGAGAGGAAACCAAAACAAGGATGAAATTAGGCTGACGTATATAGACAGTAAGAAGCACAGGAAGAGGTATAAGTGTGCGGGACACAATTTCACCATAGGGTTATAGAGATATAGTCCTACCGCAATAATTGCAACTAGAAGTACAGAAAATTAAGCTACAACGCATATATAAAAAGTATGACAATTAAATAACGATAACTGATTTGTGACTCCAAAATTGGTAACACTAGTGCGAAACCAGATTAAGTGAAACCTCTGTTCATGAATTTAATACGTTTCTGGAGGCCAATGTTAACTGAAATGTTCGTAAACCAAAACAATTCTTCCCCGTAGGAATTTAGGCAAAATGTATTAATTCGCTCCTGGACCACATATGATTGCTTTAAAATAGTATCTTGTGCATAAGTTCATAACCTAAAAACTGACGGAAATCTTAAAATATTAAAAAAAATGGTAAATAAAATATTAAACAAATAAAATAATGAAATTTCACTGTATCTGTACAAAGAAGAGTAGACAACACTATCAGACACAGTACCATAGCTAACGAAACTTTCCAAGAACTCCAAGTCTCTGCTGCAACCCAATATGACTAAAATTTCCTCCAAACAGAACTCATCTATTTTTGAAAGACTGAAAAATAAATACCTGTTGCTCATTTTAAAATTACGCATTTTTTATCTGCACACGGTAAGTTTAAAGTTTATCTCGAACGGTTTAAGCTGACGTCTTCCAAGTTGTATTATTGCAATCTTAGCGTTCAACAAAGTGTATTCCACCTGATTTTTGACTGCCCATTTCTTGATAAAGCAAGGAATCTATTGAAATGCAGATTAAAATTAATTGGAATTCATTGGCCGCCGAAATGTTAGGATTTTCTATCTTCAGCTTCGGCCTACCGAGCTTTTAACGACTTTTTTGACTTTTATTTTAAACACTGTAAATGGTTCTTTATACATTTATATATTTTTGTATTTAACTTTTTTTGCGTGTTTTTTTTTCTTTGTGTATGATTTCATTGTATTATTGAAATTTGATGTTATTACTTACGATTTTGCCTTTTTTACTTAGGATTTGTAAGTCTCGTGGGATACTTTGTGGTGCGCGAGAATTTCTTTTTCTTTAAATAAATAAAAAAAAAGCAGAAGTCATGGTATTGTAGTTAGTGGTATAGTGTTTGCATATGGCTCGTGGCTCGCGAGCCATATGCGTCCCACGAAACAATTTTATGCCGCCCTCCAATATATTCCAATTGTGTATTTGTTGCAAATACAGTGATTTAAAGATTTCAATTATTTTACGGCCAATTTTACATTATTTTCACAATTATTAACAGCGAACGTAAATAGTGCTTTAGAAAGACTAGAAATTGAGCTAATTAATTTTCAATGTGACGTAGAGTTATTAAGTTATTTTGAAGCAGAAGATGGAAAAATATGCAATGCCCTGGCTGGGACTCGAACCTGGACCTCTCGAATACGCGTCGAATGTGCTACCGTTACGCCCCGAAAGCATGCTGCAAGGAGGAAGAAAATACCTTATAGTGATATATAACTTATTGAAGGATATTGAAGATATAGATTTGCTTATTAGTTATTAAGCTAATATAGATTATATAAGCTAATATAAGTTAGTAAGCTAATATAGAAGATATAGATTTGCTTATTAGTTAGTAAGCTAATATAGAAGATATAGATTTGCTTTTTAGTTAGTAAGTTAGTATTACTTAGTAAGCTCAGTTATAAATTTTTTTAATCCAAAAAACGTTGGCCCAGAAGGGTTATTAATTTCGTTTTGGTATTTAAAAATTAATAAAATTCATAGTTTTAAAAAATTAGTAAGCTCAGCTATAAATTTTGATGTTAAGAAAAATCTCTTTATTGTAGTAAGCGTATATTGTAATAAGTGCATATTATTTTATTTATTGTAATAATTAATTTAATTTGTACCTTTATTGTAATAAGTACATGCGAATAGGAATTTTTCACAGTTGAAAGAAACAGATAAGAAACAGATTTCACAGATAAGAAAAGGACTTGACTGACCGATTAGCATTATCCGCCCTGAAGGTAATAGCTTGTAATTTTTCTTCAGGACTACAAACTTTATCAGAACCGAATCAAGTGTCAAGCTATAGATAAAAATAAAGGAGTTTGTAATTATTTACGTACAAACATACGAATTATTTATGCGGCGAAGAAAAATTTAATAAATGAAAAAAAGAGACTAAATTGTCATTATTTATTTTCAAGTTTTCTCTCAGTTGAGAAATCTTCTCTGAAAATTTTGAAAATTTTCATAATGTTTTATTGTATTTTAAATTAAACTAAGTTAACTAATGATTAATTAAACATATTAAAATTATTTGAAATAAATTACAGTCTGAAATATTAATATTTAGTAGTCAATCAGTCTGACCTACAAAGCTGAAGCCAAAAGAAATGTATTGCAGGAAGCAAACTTTAGATTTCAGAGCGAAAATAAATTTAAGCTTGAACGTTTTTTTTTTCTTTGCGTTATAGTTATAATTATTATCATTTATATCTATTTCAATAAATGTGTAATAAGAGATGTTTAAAATTTAGTTCATTTTTTAATAAAAATTTTTTATTTTGCTTTAAAAAACTGTTTTTATTAGTTTTGGGTCGTGCATTCGGCTCGCACGTAATGTTGTAAGTCACTTGCTATCAGGCTAATATCAAATGACAATGCGAATATCAAATGCAAATATAAACAATGCAAATATCAAAATGATGTGTCCGGACGTCCCAGAGAGTTAATTATGGGATTAGGGGATTTTAAAATACCTTAAAATTATATGTTGCAGACTTGAGTGTTCATAACTCAAGAACTCAACACTGGCGAAAGTGCGTATATTTGCAAGAGGACTATTGCGAAGAAGTAGACGATTGATTTTCAGTTAATCGCTGATAAAGATGTCATATCATAAAATTTATCATTTAATTATAATTTTGTAATTTGTAATCCTTAACTCGTAATTGGATTGTCATTTCTAGCATGCAGCAAGATTGCAAAAGAATGACAGATACTATAAAAGAAGCATACAAGAAAGATTCGTCTTCGAAAAATGAAAAATACAAGCTCAGTCATAAATCTATTCAAAATGTCTGAAGGTAACGTTGCTGGTTGCTAAAAATATGAAACTATTGTATTGCATCTACAAAATACGAATGGATGTTTATCAGTACTTTAATTTTCCAACTGAGCAATTAATTCTGCGATTTGAGAATTTCCATTGAAGCAGATATCAGTCAGTAAAAGTTGCCCGGAGAAATGGACATATTGGCAACAATATCTCTCTTTTTTTTTTTTTTTTTTTAAACCTTTCCTTTTTACTTACTTGTACGAAGTAAAGGAAGTACTATAATCGCGAAAAATGTCGAATATATTTCAATGAAAGTATCCATTTTGACCGCTATCGAGTGCAATTTGACGAAGTTTTTTCGTGACATCTGTACATAAGGGCAGAATAAATGACTGTTTTTTTTAAAACGGATTGCAAAATGGATTTAAAATTTTTTTCGTTACGAAGAGATTCTAAGAGATTTTTTTCCCTGACGTCTCTACGTACGTACGTATGTATCTCGCATAACTCAAAAACGAGTAGCCTCAGAACGTTAAAATTTTGTATTTAGAACTGCTATAACATGTAGTTGTGCACCTCCCTTTTAGTTGCAGTCGGCCTATATATATATATATATATATATATATATATATAATATATATACAGGGTGATTATAATTAAAGTTTAAGTTTCAAAACGCTATAAAAAAAGACCACTGATGAAAATGATGTGAAATTTGAAAGGAATGTTTATTGAAGAAGGCGGAAAGCGTATGGCAGAAGAAAAAATTTAGTTTCAAAAGTTAGCAACAGATGGCGCTGTAAGCGGGAAAATCACGACGAGAAACGAGAAATGATTCGTAAAACAACGGCTAAGGTGGAAGTTACACATTAAAACGCATTGACAAATTAGAATTGTTGAATAATTTTATTTGCATGACTGTACATATCACATCGAAAGGAACAAATCGGTTTCAAGAGTTTTGCGGCGACATACCGCATAAGAACCATTCATCAAAGCAGTTCGGAAGTGTCGCGAGACTGGCGCAAAACATGTTCAATATGGTGTCCACCGTTGTGTGCAACAAGTTGAAAGCGACAAACAGCATGTTCCACAACGGATCGCAGTGTCTCCGGGTGATGTTCAGAATGTGTTGCGAATGCGTGCCTTTAATTCCGCTAAATTTGCAGTTGGAGCACGGAACACAACATCCTTCAGATATCCCCTCAGCCAGAATCACACGGAGTAAGATCAGGCGATCGGGACGGCCAGGCTGTAGGGAAATGACGGCTGATAATTCGAGCATTTCCGAAATGGCGCCTCAGCAGCTGCTTCACGGGATGTGCAATGTGCGGAGGAGCGCCATCTTGCATAAAATGATTTCATCCACACG